CTCTGAAAGAAATCTGAATTTTACATGAACTTCAAGGTTAAAGTCTCTATAGAACCGATCGGATGACAGGAGCTAACATCAAAGTATTAGGACAATCTTCTTTGCCCAATCTCCATAAGTCAGTAACAACAATGCTACTGTGAAATCATACCAACCTGCAGGAAAAAATGTCAGGGCATTTAAATAAAATCACAATCACCACCACCCTCTCTTACCTCCCTCCCTAAAAACCAAAGAAACAACAAAAAAAAGTATCCTTCTAAGAAACAAGAGTATACTAACCCTGGGCTCCTTCAAATTAACTAATTAAACATGCCAAACCCAAGTTCCCTTGCAAAAGATAAAACTGGTGGGAGGATCCTTCATTCAAATTGTACTCAGAAGATAGTGAAAAGCCCCTGACCTAATCTTTTATTAAGGCTCCTGGGTAGCCCAGCATCTCGATTCAAGGCAATTAGAAGCCTTAGCCAGACCAGCTCCACCTGTGACATACAGCTGAAAAGCCGTCCACGCCCACCTGCGACACGGAGGCACTGTGGTAAGAGAAGAAACCGACAGAGCAGCCAAATGCCTCTCTCTCAGATGGACCCCACAGATATTCTTCCTATCTGAGAGGTTATAAACTAGACACCTTAGCTCTAGAGATTCAGGGAGGAAAAAAAGCAGATGATCGGGAAGGAGGTTCTTAAAGAAGTATTCATCTACACCATTAAGCTACTTCTATTGGAATTACAATTAAAGGATTTTCAGGGTTGGGTCAGCCCTCACTGCAGTACCCAAAGTAGTGCTCTCTCCCCAACCTCCTCCCTGGATCATTTCCTCCTCCCCTTTACAAGGGCATTAGCCCCATTTCAAAACTAGTAATAATTCTTTCTCTTCTGTACGACAAATATTCAACCGCTGTAGTTAAATACTATGTATAAGATAAACAGGGTCAAGAATGCTGGTTGCCATCCGAGTCATGTTTAAATTAGCATTAACTCGCAGGCCCTTCCCTAAACAAAACAAAAGGCTTTCTTGGTCAGCTCTGTGCCTGGCGAGTGATTTTAACTCACAGGCTCAAAAGGCCTCACAAGCATCATTAATTTCTGCTCAGTGAAATTTCTCAAAAGGCCACTATCAGTTTGGGAGGACTGTGGAGGAGGAAACTATGTGTCATTTATTTTATCATTTTTATATAATCTGGATGAGCTGGTAGCGGTGCCCTAACATTCACTGGCCATGAATTACAACGAAATGTAAAGGAATCAAAGCTCAGTCCTTTCACACATTTCACCCCTCACGATGCCCCAGTAGGCATTACCACTGTCTTCCTGCATTTTGGGGGTTAATACTTAGCCCTTCCCAACCCCACGTAGCACAACTTCTTAAAATAACATCCCAGGTCCCCCCTAATTTACTGCCTGGTCCCTTTCCAGCCTTCATTACCCCTTCATTACCCCAACTACATCTTCATTCTCCACCATTCATCTTTTAAGAGACGCATCATTTTCACCCTTCAAGGCCCTTCTGTGAAGTCTTCCCCAGAGTCAGAAGTTTATTTTCCATTCCCGAGCATGCCAAGGGTTCTTGGATTCTACAGCTGACACCTAGTTATGCCATCCAGCTACTATGTACTGAACTTAGCTGCATGTTTTCCCTCTGCACTGCCGCTCTTTTTAGCATCTTTGTGTCCGCCTCTATAGGAGGAATTCAGTAATTGCTTATTTAATTACGATTTTCTCCTTTTCTCCCAACCTTCTAAGATATCCATAGTTCTCCACGAGATACCTACGTAATAACACAATAGGGATTTGGGAGGGAGGGGGTAACATGATATGTAAAAACAAGAAACCAAGTAGTATGAGGCTGAGTTAACAAGGCCAGAGCAAACTTTGAGACTTCAAACCAAAAGCTATGTTCCCAGTTTTATTACATCACACTTCACTTTTAAAATAAATCATGCTCCTCAAGTGTGTATGCATATGGGTACCAAAAAAACTAAAGGAAGACCAGCCACACATTAAGCACAGATATTAAAATCTTGACCTCAGACTAAATTTTAAGTCTTGTTATTTGCTGAACACTTGGAGCTTCCCAGTGAAAATGATACAGTGTATTCTGCCCAGATTGCAACTTTCCTTACTTAGCATTTGAAATAAGATTCTTGGCCCTAAAAATCACTAACTTCAGGCTAAGTGTCATTATGTATCAAAAAGACTTAGCAAGTAAGAGTTTTACTTTCCTTGAATTTCCCAGTCTAATAGAACCAATTCAGTAAAGCCTTGAAAATCTATGGTATAATTTTTTTTAAATGAAATTTCTGTTTGGTAAATATTAGCTTCAAACAAAAATAGAAGTTTCCAACACAAGCTGTTGAAAGGGCTGCCCTTCCCATCTCTGTATTTTTCCCCATCATTTACAGGGATACTGAGATCCTCTGAGTGCCCACAGCACTGGGCAGCTGCTGGGCCTGAGAGACACTAATGCAAATGGGAAGTTGGTCAGGTCCGACGACAGAGGTTACCCCCACTCCACATCACTTTTAAGGCTAAACAAGTTCACTCACTGTAATAGAATGGAAGATTAAGGGGGATGTGGGGGAGTATTATTGATGCCCTTGTGGAGGAGGAAATAAAAAATAGAGGAAAATCAACCCCCAGGTCTAGGTTCTTCCTCTACCCCCCCCCCCCCCGGGCATCTCCTACTGCAAGTTTTTTTTTCTACCTTTGACCCTCTTGCCCTCACTACTGTTCTACCATGGGATAACCAACCGCTAGGTTCTAATTACCTGGGGGAGCTGGAAAGAACAGCAAAGATCATTAAATCCATCCATTTTCCAGATGAGTACCTCGAGATGAAAACAAGCTGACCTGACTGGCTAAGGTGGGACCACTAGGGGACGTTGTGAGCATAGGGACTCATTATAATAACCCACTCTTCATTCTAGCCCCTGCCTTCCCCCTACGCACTGTTACTTAGCTTCTTTATCCTCAAATTAAACGGTGTCAAGTAAAACACGGCCTTAACATACAGTGCTAATCGTTATTCACAGTTTTGCATTTGAGGCAAATTTCTCACTCCTACCAGATTTAGAGAACCAAGGACAGAAACAACTAGATGGTAGAGTGAGTGTGTGTGTGTGTGTGCAATTTAGTTCAATCCAAACAGTCATAACTCCAGTAAACACCCTTTTCCCTTGGGGTTTAGTCTTCTATTTGACAAGTGAATCGCTTCTTAGGAGAATTAGAAGGTTTCCCAGTGCAGTCTCCCTTTAACCAGAATCGCAGGCTTTGAATCACAGACCACTGGCTTCACAGTTATGCTTACGCTGGGCAAACAACACTTATGCAAATAGGTGAAAAACAAGGACTGTTAGAGCCTGAAGGAATAGAGGATTTTATCCTAATAACTGCAGTTACAGGTTTCCGATATTCAGGTTTGCAAATATGCACCTATTCCAATGGGAATCAGTGAAACTTTAACAAGCAAGCCCTCGCTGAAAACCCACATTTACGAAAAATCCAGAGATTTCAACAAACAAGAAAAGAAAGAAGTAGCGACAGAGAGCAACAATCTCAGGCCCCAGACCGAAGGCAGCAACAAGTCCTGGATGCCGTCATCCCCTACAAATCAAAGGCCAAATGGCAGCAAAGAAAAAACAAGAATAAAATTTAAATCCATTCATAACAAACTAGTCCTACACAAACCAAACGAGCCTGTCGGTTTCAAAACTACCAACTCTAAGCCAGGTCCCTCCCTTGCCTTCAATTTCCCAGTTACTTGCTGAGCGTGTTTGTTAGGCGGCTGCACACAAACTAAGCTGAAAGTCCGCAGCTCGGGCGAGACGAAGGAGTCGTCCGTGAGAAGCAAGTGGTGCGGGAGCTCCGCGCTGCGGCGCGCGGGGAACCCTGGCGCTCCACGTCCACCCGGACCCGGCTTTGGGGTAATTTCGAGCCCCCCACCCCCTGCAAGCCTTCTCGCGCTCCCACCCAGACCCAGGTAACCCGAGGCCACCTACGTGTCACTTGGGCGGGTCCGGGCCGCAGACGCCGCACAAAGCGCGGGCCCCGGGGCGCACTGACCTGGCCGGGGGACGGAAGGGCCGGCGGCCCAGGCGGCTGCGGCAACTTCCCTCCCGGGGCTCGGTCAACTGGTTGGCGGCGGAGGCCACGAGAGCCTCGCCTCCTGCAGGCCAGCTCGCAAGCGCGCACGCCCACCCACAGCCGACACAGGCGAGCGCGCGCGCGCGCACACTCACACTCGCTCGCACACTCGCACGCACAGCCACAAAGCCCGTCTGCCCCAGGACAGTGCGAGCCGAGCGCGCCGTGCGGCGGCGCAAGCGACGCGGCGGCCACTGGCTCCGCGCCCAGGGGGCGCCGTCCCCCCGCCCCGCGCCGCGCCCGCCCCTTTACCTGCGCCCGCCGCTGCCCTCCGGCTGGCCTCCCGCAGCGCGCTCGCTCCCCGCGCCCGGCCCTCCGCCCGCCCCCTCGGCGGTCTCCCGGAACGGGGCCGCCCCCTGCGCCCACCCCCCCGCCCCGGGGAAGCCGGGGAGGGCTCCGCGGCGCCGGCGTCCAGGCCGCCCAAGATCCGGGCAGCGCTCCGCAGCGGGCGGGGGAGTCGCAACCCGGGGAGCGCCAGCCGCCGCTCGGGCCGCCTGCTCGCGCTTTGGCGCGCTGGCCGGGGCGGCGGGGGAGGGGGCGCCGGGGGAGGGCCGGAGCCGCGGCGCGGACGCCAGCCTCCTTTCTTCCTCCGCCTTCTTTCTGCCGGCTCCACGTAGCACAAGTCGGCAATTCCCGCACCCCCGACTCCCTCCCGCTGGCTCGTTCCGTCAGCTGGTGTGACGCCCCCAGAGCCCCGACCCTCGGCGCCCCCCTTCCCCCATTCATTGCCACCTCCCCGCCCCGGCGGCGGGGCGGGGGCGGAGGGGCACTAAGCCTCCCGTCACTATCTTACCGCCCCCCCCCACCTCCGCAGCCCCGTGTGACCCACCCGCGGCCGCCGGCTCGGATGCTTACCCCTCCCGCGCTCGCCTCAGCGCCCGCCAGCTTGCTGGGCTGGGTGGGCTCCCCCACACGGTGCATTTTCATTTTGTCGCTCTACTCGTCCCCCTCGCAAAGCTCTGGAAAACATCGCGGGCCCGCAAAACCCCTGAAGTAGGGCCTTTCTCGTAGTTCAGTTTCTCAACTTCGCAGAAGACACCAAGTTTCTCCCAGCACAGCCTCTAACTGGAGGCTGCAAAGAAACCAAGAGTCGACTTTTCTGCTAGAAAGGTGCACACGTCTCTGTTTCTGAGTTGTCCATTGACTCGGTCTGCAGACCAAAACAAGCGTGACTGTGCTCGCTTAGTTCTCCACAGCCAGGGTTACACATTTCTCTTCCGCTTTCCCAGTGAAACTTTGCAAGTGCAAACTATCAGTTTTAGGAGCGTAATTAAGGGCGGGGAATGCACACCTGGAGGTGTGGGCGGGAGCGGCGCCGGACTAAGCTCTGGGGATCGTTCTTGGGAAAAGTGGCAGCCACAGAGGATCGCCCAGGTCCTATAACAACACCCGGTCCATCGGGGGCTTTCCAGCCGCGCCACCTCCCGCTTCCCACCCTTGGCTTCCCAGGATTTCCGGGCTTTGGGCAATTCTCGGCCTCTCGCTCCGGGGCTAGAGCCGCCACGCATCAGAAGGAGCTGTTTAGGGGTAAAAGCTGAGCGCGCTCTTGCCTTTGAAAGGGCCCATAAGAGACCGGGACAGCAGTGAGGCAGGGGGACTCGCTCGGCTGGACGGATAGCTAGGTCTGAGAAAGAAACGCGGAACAGCGATGGGGCGGGGGGGGGGGGGGGGGGGCTGCTTTGATGGTAGTCGCTCGGTAATCTCGGGCTTTCAGAAAGGAGAGGTCCCTTTAAACCTCAGTGGGCGGGGAGGGGAAGACTTCTCGTAAAGGACACTTTTCGAGATACCAGTTAGGTGTGCTTATTAACAGAACGTGACCAGCTGCCCGCGACTGCTTAGAACCTTGACTGTGTTGGCCTATGGTTTTCACAGGATGCTCAGGGCTAAGACCTGTCCGCTAGTCAATTACTATCTAAAGCGGTTTCTTTTTTAAGATAATCTTTCAAATCCTCCTCTTTAAAAAAAAAAAAAAAGTTGTTTGGTTTTTTTTTTTTTTTAAGTAATCTCTACACCCAGTGTGAGGTTCGAACCTACAACCCGGAGGTAAGTCCCAGGCTCTACGGAATAAGCCAGCCATGCTCCCCCTTTCTAAAAAATCAAACATTCCACTTTCTCTCCTTTCCTACCAATTTATGGTTTATTTTACAATAATCCCCTTAGAATGTGAAAAATTAAAAATGTTAATACATGCACGGTGCCAATATGTTCATGTACAGTACAGAAATGCATGTACACACTCTTCTCAAATAATGAGAGGCATTGACCTTAAACTCTAAAAAAATATATTGGGCAGGGGCGCCTGGGTGGCTCAGTTGGTTAAGCGACTGCCTTTGGCTCAGGTCATGATCCTGGAGTCCCGGGATCGAGTCCCGCATTGGGCTCCCTGCTCGGCGGGGAGTCTGCTTCTCCCTCTGACCCTCCTCTCTCTCATGCTCTCTGTCTCTCATTTTCTCTGTCTCAAATAACTAAATTTCTCAATGCCAAAACTTCAATATCTAGTGAAAAGAATGTTTTACATTTTTATTTAAAATAATTGAAGTATTATATTAATTTTATCAATAAACATTATTAGATTATTTAATTTAAAAAGTATTTCAATGTTTAGCCCCTCTTCATAAGTCAGAGTGTAAAGGAGTTTCTTGCCTACCACTTCCCCTTGAATATTTTTGAATATATTGATTTTATCTCTTACCATCTTAAGGAATATTGCTGCTCGTGCCTTCATTATATATTAACTGCCTTAATATATAACTGCCTACTCTGTGGTCCTGACATCAGATGGGGAGTTCTGTCCACACAAGACATATGTACTCAAAAGTTCTAAGTTATTTGCTATACAACACTTTATTTTCTCTTTATTTGGTCTCCTGTGGTCTAAGATGAAATGGAGAACAAAATTCAAGGTCAGCCTGGACAGACCTGTCTTTCTGACAAGTGCAGACCTGTCTGAATGAGACTGCTCTGCAACCAGCTTTAGGACAATAACTTTCAAATCCAACGTAGGTTGTATGCCCAGCGTAAAAGGAGCGAGAACATGAAATCCAAGACAGAATTCAGCTCAGCACAGAAATTAATTCATCAAAACAAGTACTGTGTTCCTAATGAGCCAGTGTTCTCCTCTGTAAAATGAGATAATAATACAAGCATAGTCTATTTTATTGGGTTCTGAGCTGTCTTTATCAAAGTAAGGTAATAGACTTGAACAGTCTTCTTAAAACATTGAAACAGAGGGGCGCCTGGGTGGCTCAGATGGTTAAGCATCTGCCTTCGGCTCAGGTCATGATCCCAGGGTCCTGGGATCGAGCCCCACGTCGAGCCCCACGTCGAGCCCCGCGTCGAGCCCCGCGTCGGGCTCCTTGCTCAGCGGGAAGCCTGCTTCTCCCTCTCCTTCTACTGCTCCCCCTGCTTGTGCTCTCTTGCTCTCTCTGTCAAATAAATAAATAAAATCTTAAAAAAAAAAAAAACATTGAAATGGATGCTATGGTTTCAGTAAAGATGAAGGATGCCGTGATACACTTTCTTCAATGTTTTTACCTGCCTGTGGCCCTCTTCCATTCAGGCCATTGCCTTTCCTGGATAGTCATCCAAATGCTTTCTGCGGTAACCTTTCTCTCTTACCCTCTGCCAAGCAGTGTTTCTCTAGATTTGTTTCTTCAAATGACTTCAGCAGAGCTGAAGACTCAAAGACAGCTGGTGCTATCAAATGTGAGAAAAAAAATATTTTCAGCAAAATGAAGAGAATTTTAATGAGGAGTATTTCAAGTACAGTTTCCATTATCATCTCAAAGGATACTATAGACTTTGTTAGATTACCGATGTTCTCTAGTGAGTGGTCCAAGAGCTATAACTGACGAAGCACTTAGGATGGACAAGTTGGCTGTCGTTGCATTAGGCTCTATCATTTGTTCAGAAAGGGATTGCTGGTCATGCCAGTTCTCTGCCTTCCCATGTTCCCTTTCGTCTGGCAAAAAGCCTTTGAAATTTTCTATGAGAGTAATCAAAACTATCAACAGAAAGATCTGTTGGAAACTTACTGCCTGGTCTGTTAATGTAGAGACTGGTTCAAAAAATACATTTTGGTGAAACAATACCCCGAGAGAATACAACCTGCTGGGAAAGTTCTTCAGGTGCCTCTGGGGCATAGGTTTCTTCCTTCTTTACATAGGGCATGTGTGCCTCTCTGGTGTTTTTCCTTTGGCTAGAAGAAAATCATTCTCCTTAGGAAACCTTTCTATTTTAAAAGGCCAGCGGCAGAGTGGGTGAGGCAGCCCAATTTAGTTTAAAAAAAAAAAAAAAAAACCCTCTTGATGGTAGAAATAGCATGAGGAGACTCCAAGAAGGGGGAGGAGACCTTGGGATTGTGGGCACAGCAGCCCTGTGGGAGGGCTACCTGGCAATGAAATGAAAACCCTCAATGAAGTGTCTCTGTGCTCACCTGCTTCTCATCACATCACATTTGTGCACAAATCATCTGGCCAGTCTACAGCAGATAAAGGACTAGCAAGTTCTTTCCTGTAGTCTTCCTTACCCAAGTGAAAAGGCTTTGATAGAAAACAAACGGAGAAAAAAACGAAAATGAAGAAGAAAAAAACATGTGTCACGTGTATAATATTAGAGCTAACAAGAGACCTGTATACAAAGGAATCATAGAAAGGGTCATAAAAATCAAACAAAAATGGTAAATTGCTAGTAAAATGGATAGTGGAGAAAAAAAAGAAAAACGAGACTATGAATGAGATTATAATTATAGTTTCAGTAGAATTTTTTAATACTAAGAGAATAGTATAGTCATATATCCTTTCCGAACATTAAAAACTTAGGTAAAATAAATACTTCTTAGCAAAATATAAATTACAAAAACTATTGATTCAAAAAATTTAGAACATGAATATATCTATAACCATTAAATAAACTGAATTCCCGTTTCTAAATCTACCTGCAAGAAAGCTCAAAGATTTAGTGGGAAAGATTTATGAAATCTTCATAGACAACCTCTATTCAAATGGTTTCAAAGATTAGAAAAAGAAGGAAAGCATCTTGATGATTTTAGGAGCTAATAAAATCTTGATACCAAAATCAGAAAAAAAACATAAAAAGGAAAATTATTAGACAAATCTCAAAAGGCATTAAAAAATGTTATTTTTACATACAATGTTATCAAACCCAGTTCAGCAATGGATTTTAAAAATATACTTCATCAGGTTAACACCATAATGTAAGGATGATTTAATATGAGAAAATATAAAGTAATTTGCCATTCATTTATTGTTTTTAATCTTAGCAAACTAGGAAAGGAAGGAATTTCCTGAATACAATAAAGAGTTGCTACCAACAACCTAATTCTAGAAACAGTATTCTTAATTTTAATTCATTAAACATTTTTCTATTAAAGTTAGCAATAAAACAAGGATAGATTTACCATTTTATCATTTATTCAACATTGTACTGAAGCCCCTTGCTAATAACACACACACACAGAGAAATGAGAAGCTATAAGGGTCAGAAAACAAGAAAATATGATTTATAGATGATGTTGTCTGCTAAGAAATTCAAGCAAATCTAATAAAGTAATAGAACAAATAAGAGAGTTTAGCAACATTGTTGAATAAAAGATCAATATACAAAGAAACCACAACCCATTAGAGATATAAATTCTTAAAGGTCTCACTCATAATAGCAACCAATCTTTATTATAATTGATTAAAAACTCATAGAAAGGTAGAGTATGTGTGGAGAAAATATAAAGTTTTGTTGAAATACAGAGAAAGGCCTAAATAAATGGAGAGATACATCATGTTCATGGATAAGAAGACTCCTTGATCACAAAGCAATCTACTCCAAATTGTAATATAGGCTCTTTCGTAGACCTTGACAAAGTGATTCCAAAATTCATGTGGAATCGGAAGAGGCCAAGAATGACTAAGACAATTCTGAAGAAGCAGAGGGAGGAAAAATTTTCCCTTCAGATATCAAAAGCTTCATACTGTAATAATGTGGTGTTGGTGCAGTGATTGGTAAATAATCTAATGAACAAGAAAAGCAGGGTGCCTGGGTGGCTCAGTTAGTTAAGCAACTGCCTTCGGCTCAGGTCATGATCCTGGAGTCCTGGGATTGAGCCCCGCATCAGGCTCCCGGCTCAGCGGGGAGCCTGCTTCTCCCTCTGACCCTCTCCCCTCTCATGCTGTTTCTCTGTCTCTCTTTCTCTCAAATAAATAAATAAATAAAATCTTTAAAAAAAAAAAAAAGAAAGAAAAGCAGGTTCAGAAACAGAACCACATAGACCTGCAGGGTCTATTATGTCATTCAATAATCTAATGAAAGAGAATTGTAGGTTCAGAAACAACCATTCATATAAATGACAAATAAGTCAATGCAAATTGGTAAATCAAAGATGATCTGTTAATTAACGATGCTGAGATAATTAGCACTCTATATATTTTTAAAAATGGGATCCCTACCTCACACTGTAAACAAAAGTAAGTTCTTAATGATTTTAAAAACAAGGCAACACCT